GTCACAGCAGGGACTGTATGGCCCACAAAGTCTAAAATAGTTCCCATCTGGCTAATTACAGGAAAAGTTTGGCAACCCCAGGTCCAGAGCAATGATTCTCAAACTTTAGCTGGAAGGCTTGTTGAAACACAGAATACAGGGTCCCGCCTTCAGATTTTCTGATTCAGTCCGTTTGTCCTGGGGCCGGAGAACCTGCATTTCCGACAAGCTCCCAGGAGTGCTGATGCCTGAACCACACCTTGGGGACCCTGGTTTAGAGGACCTTGGGTCTTCAAAGCTGATGCTCAGCCCCACCCTGGAAGCTCACAGCCCACCCAGGGAGTAGAAGGTGCTTGGGGAGAAGAGAGGGAGGACGGATGAGCTCTTACCATCCAGATCCTATCTCATCCATCCATCCATCCATCCCCAGCCCGGTTCAGGCTGTCCTTCTCCTGGTGTCTGCTCCCCCCTGGTGGCCGCAAGCCTGGATCTTGCCTGGCAGTTCAGCCTTGATTGCCCAGACCTCCATTCGGAAACACATTTCAAAGTCTTCAAAGTTTGCACATCCTTTCCCCTGGGGGGGGGTCCACGTCTAGAATTTCATCCAAAAAAAGAATCAAGGATATGGCCCTGGCCAGTTTTGCTCAGCGGTTAGAGCATCGGCTTGTGGCTCAGAGAGACCTGGGTTCGGTTCCCGCAAAGGGCAGGTACCTCGGCTGCAGTTTGTCCCCGACCCTGGTTGGGGTCGTGCGGGAGGCGGCCGCTCGATGTGTCCCTTTCACGTTGATATTTCTCTCTCTCTCTCTCCCCGTCTCTCTCCCTCCCACTTCATCTGAACAAAAATGTCCTTAGGTGAGGATAAAAAAAGAAAAGAATCAAGGATGTGTACCAGAATGCCCTGTGCTGCATTGTTTGTTTGTCAGAGGGAAAATGGGAGACCAGGGACAGCCAGTTGACATGGTCACACAGCTAGTAAGAAGCCCAGGCAGGACTTGAAGTTGGGTCTGTATGACTCAGGAGCCAATGACTCAACTGCCACACTACACAGCCCCTCAGGGCGCCCCCTGCCTGCCTCGGGGCGCAGTGATTGGGAGCAGGGATTCCAGAGCTGAATTGCCTTGCCGTGAATTCCTGTCTTGTTACCTGCCAGCTGCGTAACATCGGGCAAGTCACGTAGCTGCTCGGTCTCAGTGTTCCCACCTGTAAAAGGGGAACATAATTGTAAAGGTTACATGAGTTAGCACAAGTGTTTAGCCCTGTGCACTGTGTGAGCTGTTATTATTCTTGCTTGTTAAGCCCCCGCCTTCCTTCTGTGCCCTTCGCTCTTCTTTGCTCTCCTTAACGGACTCAAAGCATTGTGGGTCACTGGCAGGCGCGCTGGTCAGGTGAACTGGGACAGAAGTGGCTGGGATGTGGCGCCGTAGCCAGGAGGTGGCAGACATTTAGCAGGGCCCACCCAACTGCTCTGAGAACCGTTTCTGCCCATGGGACTGGGCCCCTATAGTCTGGGGAATAGGGCACTGAGCTTAACGTTGGGTTAAACAGACCTGGATCTGAATCCTAGGTCTTCTGTGTGACAAGGGCAAGTAGCGTCCTCTCCCTGAGCCTCACTATTCGTATCTGTAGAATGGGGGCAATAAGGTTAGAGCAGTGGTTCCCTACGTGGGGTCTCCAGGGGCAGCAGCGGCATCACCTGGGAACTCTCAGGAAATGCAGATTCCGACACGCCCGCCTGGTGGTTGTGGTCTCCCTGAGTCTGAGGACCTTCTCCTCCGCCTTGTTGTGACTGCTCCTGGAGAGAACGGCCGCCAGACATTTAGCTCAATAATCGTGAGCTGCTGTCACTGTTACAGGCCCGCTGCTTCTTGGCCTCTGCTGATTGGGCCAGGAGTATCCTTGCTCCAAAGAGGACCAATCAGATCCCCTCTTCTGGGATCTGGAAAATGGATGTCACTTCCATGAGGGGTAGGGGCTAACCCAGTGGCCTAGGATGTCGTTGGAGGGAGGAGTGGGCAATCTATTTTTCTCCACTTGCCCCAACAGTCAGTAGCGCCAATCTGTAGAGAGAGGCTCAGAGTCCAGAGGTCTCCGGGGAGACACGGCAGCCCCGGCCTGAGGGCATCCCTGTCTGATCCCATGTCTACTGAGATTAGGTTGTCCCACCTGCTCCTGGGTCCTGTAGAACACCTCTGGGTTCCCCTGATAAATCCCTTCTCTTCTCCTAAGTTGGTTCGAGATGGTTTCTGTCACTTGCAACTAAAAGGGCTCTGTCATGTTGAGAGCTGGGAGTCAGGGTCAAGGTGCATGTACAAAGGTCAAGGGTCACCGGCCCGAGGGGACCCACTTCCCTTCCTTCTTCTGCCCAACTGCTAGCCCAAGCAGGAGATCCGAGTTCCAACCCCATCCCTGTGTCTTATTAGAAAGGGGCGAAGGGGAAAGGAGGCCTCTGGGCATCGGTGGAATAGGCGAGATCTTGAGACCCATCTGAGGTCGGTCACCTCTGGGCTCCCTGTTATTTTCGGTCCTGGTTTCTATATGAAACGTCAGTCGTCTCTCCAGAGAGCTGTGGAGATTGTCCCTCCCCACTGGCTGGAAAAGAGCAATGAAAAAGGTGAAGGGTTTAGACAGATGAATGTCTCTGTAGAGCAAGGTATGTGTGACTCCAGCGGGCATGGGCAGCCTGCAGGGAGAGCCTGGATTTCCAGCAGACCGGAGCCGGTGGGAAGGCACAAGGGCACCGCTAAGTGTGCTGCCTGCGGGTGTGGTGGAGGAAAGGCTGCAGGGTCAGGGTTTCAGGAGAGCCGGCCGGCTCGAAGCAGCACCAGAGACAAGCTCTGACTCCTGGGCTCCGGCCAGCTTTGCTGGTCTTTGCGGTGAGATGGCGTGCCCTGCGTGTGCTCAACACCAGCGGCCACATGGCCCTGGGGGCGAAGTGCAGCTCTGTATGGACAGACCCAACTGCAGAAGCTTGAAGAATGTGGACTCCTGAGGTCCAGTGGGGTCAGGTGAGAGGCTTTAGACTGTGATGGGGGGGGGGGGGCTGCAGAAGGAGATCACAACAGGTGAGGGTGGCAAGGACATGGTATGTCTACAGGTTTAGCCAGAACTTTGAGAAAAACAGAAGCAGGCTCCAATCCCTGCTGTGTACTTGTCAGCTGTGTGGCCCTGGGCAAATTGCTTGTCCTCTCTGAGCCCTAGATTCTTTTCTATAAAATGGGGATAATACTTTGTATCTCCTAGGACCTGAGTGGAAACTGGATGGGCTAATGTACATAGAGCACTAGGTGCACAGTAACTCAACTGTGGTGTGGTTACCACTATTACTACTATTAGTACTAGATTCAAAAATCAGGCAAACCATTTGTTTGAAAGGATTGACTGGGCAGCAAAAAGAGGCCCAGTCACCTGTAGAAGAGGCTCCAGATCTCTGATGAAGAGCCTGAGGTTGGGGCAGGTCATCAAGTCCAGGAATGAGGCCAGGAGATGGGGCAGAAACCATGCCCAGTGAATGGAGCCCAAAGAAACAGGTCAGCCAAACAGGAGGCCGGACGGGTGCCATGACCCTATGTGATAGGCCAGGGTGCTTTAAACCCCTCCCACTTTAGGTTGGTATTGGTTTCTGGTGTTGGCGGAGTAGGGCTTAGTAGGAGGGTCTGCAGAGAGAAAGTGAGGGACCCAGACTCCGAGTGGGTCCTATGTCTGTGGTCTTGGGTCTTTACTGAGTGGCTGCTGTGCATCTCGGGCTCTGTGGGGGTTCAAAGACGATCAGGGTGAAGTGCTCACACCTAGCTGGAGAGATGGAGTGGGCACGGATGAGAAGCCAGATGCAGGCTGTGCATGCTCAGACTGAGTGAGTGGAGACGGGGTTAGAGGAGGTCAGAGGAATGAGAGATGTGAGGCTGGAGTGGCTGAGTTTCAGGGAGGGGGTGTGGCTTGAATGAGCTGCTTCTTCTTTTTTTTTTTTTTTTTGGCATTTATCTTCAGATAGAGCGGGAGGGAGAGAGAGAGAGAAACATCGATGTGAGAGAGACACATCGAGTGGCCGCCACCCACCCAACCCCAACCAGGGCCGGGACAAACTGCAACCAATGTACTTGCCCTCAGCGGGAATTGAACCCGGGACTCTCTTGTCCACAGGCCCCCGCTCTAACCGCAGAGCCAATCGACCAGGGCTTGAATGAGCTTCTTAAGGATGGTTAGAAAGGCCGAGTGGAAGGGGAACGGTGAGAGTGAGGGCACTGAGGCAGGACACATGGACGCACCTAGAAGACAAAGGGCTCAGGTGGGCCGGAGTGGACACATTCTTGTCCCGGAGAGGGGGAATGAGACTGGAAGGCCAACCCGTAGAGAGTCTTGAAGGCCATTGTCATGGGCTGGGACTTGATCCAGCTGGCAGTGGGGAGCCACTGAAGGTTATTGAGCAGGGCAGTGACATTTGTTCTAATTGGATGGCTGAGCTTGTGAAGATATCGGGAGGGGAAGCACATGGGGAGAATCAAAAGGGAAAGAGTCTTGGCTCCAAGGTCAGTTAAGACAGTGGAGGAGTGTCCCTTGATCCATTGAGTGGGGATATGTGACATTATAAACAGAAAACCCCTTGAGAGGCTGACCTAGACATGCTGCCTTGAACGAGGTCTTGGGCCATCAGTAGGCAGACCTGCCCTTGAATCCCAGCCCTGCTGTGGGATTGAGGACAATCTCTTCATCCCTCCAATCCTCAGTTTTGTCCTCTGTAAAGTGGGCATGATGCAACATGTCTCCAAGGATGAGTGTGAGGATTAACGAGAGAATGAGGAAAGTGTCCAGCTCAGTGCTTAGAGCATACTAGGTGCTCAATAGACAGTGTCCCCTCCCCATCTCCCACTGTGTGGCTGTCACAGCGCTGGACACAGAGTCTGGCTCTCCAGTCACCTCCAATTAGATAGAGTTTCTATTGTCAGAGGTCATTCATTCATTCATTCAACTAGCATTCAAGCAGCATTTCTCAGCACCTACTATGTACCAGGTGCTGGGACACAGAGTTGAATTAGACCACTGGCCCTTGGCCATGAGGAGTTTATTTACTCATTCATTCAGCAACATCCATGGAGGCTGGGCAGGGGTGATGTGGGGGTGAAGTGAGCGCTGCTGGTGGGCGACGGGGTGGGGAGGGGTATGAATCAGCCCCACAGGTCATACCTCTGGGTTCGGGAAGAGCAGGAACCCAGAGAAGATGCTGTTGGCACCTTCTATGCCCAGCAGGGAGTTCTTCTCAGTGGCCTGCAGGAAGACGTTCTCCCCCTGTTCCAGCTTGAGCACGATGCCGCCTGTGGTGACCTGGAAGGTGCTCTGGACGTAGTCGCAGAAGGTGACCACCTTCCGCGTGCTGTCACGGTCCCTGCCCCGCATGAGGTTCACGCACAGGTTCCCTCGCGAGCTGGCGTGGTAGGTGAAGTAGTAGAGGCCGGGCACCCTGCAGGTGAACTTGCCACTGCGGGATTCGTAGTTGTTGTTCGCGTTGGTGATCACGTGGTCGAAGCGGATCACCTGGTCCTTCCGCAGGGGAATATTGATAGTTCGCGTGGCAGAGAAGGCGATTTTCTGCGTGGCCTTGTAGTCTCCCGATTCACCCTTGGGGCCAGGGGCTCCGGGGGGCCCTGGGGTGCCTTTGGGGCCCACGGGGCCCTTGGGACCGACTTTTCCTGGCTTGCCGGGAGTCCCTGGATCCCCCTTCTCTCCAAACTCGCCGTGGTCTCCAGCTAGCCCTGGCAGCCCTGGAAAAGTAGAGACAAAAGAAATGAGGCTGAGATCACCCAGAACCAAAGAAAGGAGCCTGGGCTGAGAGGCAGGGAGCCTCGCTGAGTGCCCTAGGACAGGCCCCTGCCCCTCTCCGGGCCTTAGCCTCCCACCTGTAAGAGAGAGGGAGTTGGGCAGGGGACCTCTGCATCCCCTTCCACCCCAGCGTTCCGAGTCTGTGACGCGGTTGGCCACAGTGGGGACTGACACCCACGGGGCGGGAGCAGGGTCTCCCTCAGGAAGGTGCTGCGCCGTCCCTCCTCACTAGCTTGTTCAGCACCCTTGTTGGAGCTTAAGCCTGGAGGCTGGATAATGGATTCTTGGCACACACGCTGTCCCACTGCATTCCCTCCCCCACGGCTGACACCCCTCATCAGTCACGCCAGTCCTTCTGGCTGAACTTGGAAGTGGGCCTTAGATTCCTCCCTCTCCGCCACTCCAAGCAGCCACTGCCCTTGGTTTGGCACAACACAAAAGAACACCTCTTTCCCAGGAGAGTGGCAGAGTTTAGTGGCTGAGGACGTGGATTCGGGGCACAGACAGATGTGCTTCTCACATCACGTCTGCTGTGATTAGTTGTGTCCCCTTGAGTGAGTCAGATTCTTCAAGGCTCAGCTTCCTCATCTGTAAAATGGGGATGATGAGATTTTGTGGGCTTATGAGGATGAAATGAGATTATTTGGGGAGAGTGGTTGGCTATGGGTAAATGAAAAAATGAACCAGATTTCAAAGGGGGGTGGTCTTTATGGCAGGAAATCTCATTCGAACCCTGTGAGACAACCCCACAAAAGTATCATTGTCCACATTTTACAGGTAAGGAAACAGCAATTCAGAGAGGTGAAGCCACTTCTCCCGGAGGTAACCCCGGACCGTGTGACTGCGGGGGTGCCCTCTCTCCACCTGGATTTAGAAGTAAGAGATCCATGATCTGGTCTCGGCCTCATTTACTGGGCTCCTTTGGGCAGGTCAGTAGCCTTTCTGGACACCGGTTTTCCCATCTGTGAAATGGGAGTCAGAATTCCCTCCTTGCAAAGTTATTGGGAGGGCTCAGCCAGCTGATGGATTCGTAAGTGCGTTTACAATCTCTATGGTGGGCAACTGTGATTTGGGAGGCAAGAGGTGGGGCCTCAGACAGTGACACCAGTGTGTCCCCAAAGTACACAGCACCTTTCTCTCCCTTTGTCCCTGGGGTCCCAGGTTTGCCGTCAGCGCCTGGTACCCCAGGAATGCCTGGGATTCCAGGGATGGCCGGGTGCCCAGTGCAGCTGGTCTGGGCCTGGGAGACATCTAGTGGACCCAGGAGCAGCAGCAGCAGCGCCAGGAGGCTGCCCCTCAGGGTCTTCATCACCACACTGTCTCAGCTGCTTCCTGCGAGGGAACAGAAGATGTGGTAGTTTACTGCTGTGGTGAGTCCTCACAGCTATTCATGCATTCATGCATTCATGCATGCATTCATGCATTCAGTCAGTCATGCGTTCACTGAGTGTGTCCTGTCCACCAAACCCTGCTCTGAGTGCTGGGGATACAGTGGTGAACAAGAGCGGTGTGGCCCCTGCCTTCACGGAGCTGACAGTCCAGGGGAAGACAGACGATAAACTGGTCAACTTCCGCGTGAACAGAAAGAGTTAGAGCCGGTGTTGAGCGCTGGACAGAACGGAAAGTGGCCGGAAGGAGAACTGAGCTGGGGTGGGAGGGGCTGGCTTTGTGAGGGGAGTACTCCCACCTGGAAAATTTTCTAGACAGGGAGGTATCTCTGAGAAGTGATGTTTAGACCGAGAACTGAGGGTTCAGAGAGGGCTGGGCCAAGAATGTTCTAGGGGGAAAGGACAGTGGAGGCAGAGGCCCAGAGGCAGGACAGAGCCTGGAATGTTGAAGACCAGCTGGGGGACATGGGGCCAGAGGGGAGGGAGGGGGCAGAGCAACAGGAGGCCAGGGCCTGGCAGCTGTGGTATGTGGGGTTTGGATTGTATTCTAAGTGTTCTCATTCATTAGAGCTTCTGAATCCGGGGAGCCCATGCTACTCCCTCAGTGAGCCACTTCACCTCCTCAGAGCAGCCCAACAGGGAGAGGACCCGCCTGAAGCTCAGAGTAGCCAAGACCCTTGCTTGGGATCACATAGGAAGGACTGCAGTCAGGACTCGAACCCAGGCCTGCTGGGCACTAAAGCAATGTCCCTGCCAGCATACCAGCCCATCTTTTCTGGTGGATAGTCTTGGGTCCCTCCAAAGGCTGTGGGCCCTGGTGAGAAGGTGGTGCTGGCCCCTTCCAAATCCCAGAGAACTAGAGGCAGCCCTGGGCTGTCTCGAGCTGGTCAGCACAGCCAGTGCCCCACAGCATTGAAATGACCTTAAATGTCATCTAGTCCAATCCTTAGCTTGTTATTATTTTTTCAATCGAGCTAACATTCACTAACGTAAATTCGATCCTGTTAAAGTGAACATTTCAGAGGCATTTAGCACATTCACAATGTTGTACAATCACCTCTCTTTAATTCCCAAACATTTTCATCAGCCCTAATAGAACTCTGTAATCTCTGCAGTTACTTCCTTCTCAGCCCCTGACAACCACTCATCTGCTTTCTGACTCCATGGATTTATTCTTCTGGATATTTAATATAAATGGAATGATCCAATATGTGACCTTTTGTGCCTGGCTTATTTCATTCAGCCTAATGTTTTTAAGGTTCATTTAGGTTGTAGTACGTATCGGTACTTTATCCCTTTTCATGGCTGAATACTATTCCATTGTATAGACAGATTACAATTTGTCTATTCATTCATTACTGATGGGTGAATAGTGCTGCTATGAACATTCATGTACAACAGTGGTTCTCAACCTTCCTAATGCCGCGACCCTTTAATACAGTTCCACATGTTGTGGTGACCCCCAACCATAAAATTATTTTCATAACTGTAAGTGTGTTATTGTTGTATCTTAGGCAACCCTTGTGAAAGAGTCATTTGACCCCGGAGGGGTCACGACCCACAGGTTGAGAACCACTGACGTACAAGGATTTGTTTGAATACCTGTTTTTAATTCTTTTTAATTCAACCAAGGAATGGAATGACTGGAGTTACTGCCTGGGGTCTTCCGTTAATTCTATGTTGAACTTTTCAGGGAACCATTAACCTGTTATGAAGTCTCCTCAATAACATCTCTGCCAAGGGCTCTTCCATCCAGGACTTGCACCATCTCAGTCATGGGCAGCTCATTACTTACTAAGGCAGCCCACTCCACCTTTGTCCAGATCCAAATTCTTCAAGTCTTGGGTCAAAGCCTTTCTCCTCCAGGAAGCTTTTTCTCATTACCCCTCAGCCCACAGAGGCTGAGCTGTTTCCTGCCCTTAAAATGGCAGAGCAGAGGGCTCTGCTTATCTTTGAATGAACAAGAGTTCTCACTCTTGCTGGAGGTTTTACAAAATGACAGTTTGACGACTTCAATAATCCACACGTTGGGCACTTAGCAGGTGCCAGGCTCTGTGCCAAACACTTTACGTGCCATTATTTCATTGAATTTGGTTCTTACGATAGCCTCTTGAGAAAGCATCCTTGATTTCTCATTTTACAGATGAGGAAACGGGGGGTAGAGAGAGCGAGAACCTCTATCAAGGTCACACAGGCCTGTGTGGTAGGGATTCAAACCCATGCCCATTGGATCTTAACACTTACAGGATGTCACTTTAAGAGGCTGCTGTACTTGGTGGTGAAATCATGGGCTTCAGAGCCCGACGGCCCGACAGGGGGAGCTAATGCACCGGCTGCACTTAGGGCCAAGCTGGGTCGGGGCCAGCGCCCAGGGAGGGGCGCTCTTGTTGCTGGTACTGTTTCTGTCAGGTGGCAAACCCCACCAGTCTGAGAGGCCCGGAGTGTCCTAAAGAAAGCAAACTGCCAGGGTCCGAAGCAGGCCTCTGCCTCGTCTGGGCTAAGGGCCTCGACAGCTCACGTCTCCCCTCTGGCCAGTTTCTCCTACAACACGGGGCTAATGCTAATCTCTACCTCATAGGCTTGGTGGGAGGACGGACGAGTTAGGGCTTACAACAGAGTCTGGCAGGTTGAAAATGCTTACTGAATATTAGCTATTTTAAAAATCATCAGCATCATCGAAGAACACCCAAGTTTGGGGACATGATAGGAGATGTTTGGAAAGGAAAAGAGGATCAGTTCCTTTGGGGGGGCTCAGGGGTATCTCAGGCAGAGGCAGCGCAGGGTGGAGAGCTTCCACCAGTGAGGTGGGGGAGGGGGAGCAGGGTCCTGACCTTTGATGAGACTCAGGTTTCTCGGGGGAGTGGGAGGGGGTGTAGAGGCGTGGGAAGATCTAGGTTCCGGCTCATTCTAGGGGCTGCTGCATCTCAGACAGACTTGGACGTGGACTTAAAACTCATCCGGTCTGACTACACCCTGCCTTCTCCGGTCAGCACCACCATCAACCTCGCCCCTACCCAGGTCTTTTCCTGCATCGCCCGCCCTTCCATCGCTTCCAGACCCAACGGTTCCTTTATCCCCAACTTGGACTCAGGCCAAATTGACCTTGACCCCTCCCCCCTTCTACTGTTACCTCCCTGCATGACCTCGAGCAAGAACCAGAACCTCTCTAAGCCTCTTTGGCAAACTTAATTTCTATTTGACAAGGCTGCCAGAGGATTAAATGAGATGGAACCTAAAAAAAAAAAAAATAAGGTCCCTGGTGTGGCGCTTGACCCCACCTCCTCCTCTGCAAACACTGAGCTCACTCAGTACTAACTAATAACTAGCCACAGCTCCACCTGCAAGTCAAATGATTCCTTTGAAAGAGTCACGCTGAGTTTTCTCAGCGGAATGCCAGGAAACAAGAGAAGGCAGGTGTTGGAGAAATGCCGGGCTGGCGGAGGGGGACCTGGGTTCCCATATCCCTGTGCCTCTGACATCTCGATCCAGGTAGTGTGCCAAACACTGGGTGATCTTGATCTCCGTGAGGGCACATAAGACCCCTGAAAGGTTCTGATATCCCTGGAAAGGGTCTCAGCTGAGAGGTTACATGACTTGCCTCAGATCACCAGCACTTAAGAGGCAGACGCAGGACTCAGCTTGAGTCCTGGTGACACCAAAGCCCTTATGCTGGTGGCTCTCATTTTAGGCTGCCTCCCTGTCACCTAGGCCCTAGGTAGCTGCAGAGTGTTGGATTCCGAGGTCTGGGCCCAGGCAGGAATCGGTGTTAAATACTCCAGGGGGCTCCGAGGCAGGGGATGCAAGGTCTGCACTTTGGGAATCACCACCCTCCACCCTGCTGGGTCCAGCCAGCCAGTCCCCCCAGGCCCCACACCCCACACCCCATCCTCACCTGGGAACCTGGCGTCCTGTGATGCTGTTTGGCTGGGCAGCAGTGGGACCAGGAGCCGGAGCCAGATGCTCTCAGTCCAAAGCGGAAGTTCCATCGCCTGGAGACGGGAAGGGCCTTCCCCGGATGGCCCCCTCCCACGGGCCCAGCAGGCCACCTCCTCCTTGTTGCCCCCACTCTCACCCTGTCCTGCTGCCTGCAGGCAGTTTCAGATCCTGTTTCTGTCATCTGGAGGGGCTTACCGTAAATGGGGTGGCCGGTGGTGAGTTGGGTTTCGCCGGCTCAGCGGCTGTGGGAGAACGGGCTGTCCAGGGACAACGACCACAGCTGGGGACTCGGTGCCAGGACCTCTGAGCTCATGACCTTCTAAGGGATGTTCCTCAATGAAACGGAAACATGGCCAGCCTGGTGCCTGGGCACTGAATTTGGAGTCAGAAACCTTGATTCATAACCTGGCTCTGCCACCTACCAGCTCAACGTCCTCAGCCAGGGAGCCCCGTTTCCTCTGGAACAGGGTGAGACCACAATTGTACCTGCTCTGTGGGTCTCGCGGGCGCTGGGGCTCCGACGGGACAGTGGAGAAAGGAGGGTAAGCTGGAGCGTGCAGGCCTGTTACTCGTTACTATCACGCCATGTCCCAGGCTTCCCTCTCCTGGCTCATCTCTCCTGCTTTCTTCTCACTCTGCTCTCCTGCGCTTTCCCTGTTCTCAGAATAGAACCTCGTAATAAAAAATAAAATTCAAATGTGGTCATTATTTATTTATCCCCACCCCCCCTGCTTCCAGAAGGGCTTGGAGCTGATGACAATAATAGGCACAGGCAGGGGCCTGTTGCTTATTGGTCCTGGAATCACACCGAGTTAGAGCTGGAGAGGGACTTGGAGGTCGCTCAGCCCACCCCTTCGTTTAATAGGGGGAAACTGAGGCCCAGCGGGGAGACATTCATCATGAGCCTGTAGGTGCCCCGCACTGGGAGACTGGAGGCAGAGCCACAAACAGACCGGCCCTGGTCCCTGCCCCCTTGAACATCTCTTTTACTGGGGGACACTGTTGTGAAGCATCCAGTGATACATGGGTTCATTGGTCCTGTGATAAATGTCACAAAGGAAGTGACTGCTGGAGCCCAGACCTCGTCAAGAGGCCTCAGAGCCAGGCGTCTGACACCAGATATCACCCCCTTCTGAGGCTTTGTCTCAGGCGGTGTGACGTCCCGCTCAGGGATGGCTGCCCAGCGAGGTCAGGAGGGCCTGTCTGGACATCTGTGCCTGGAGATAGGAAATCGCTGGGCTTGTGGGCGCTGCGTGATGGACTTTGTTAACTGCAGAGGGTGATAGGGAGGAAGAAGAGTAGTTTGATGAAACCAAAGGGTCTCTGAACTCAGCCAACTATAGATCCAAAGGGACCCAGGCCTGGGTGGTAGATTCCGGGCAGGGAGATAGGGGTTAGTAGGTTGCAGATCCAGGGGTTCGTCTGAGAGTTCCTCAGGCCACTTGGGCCTGGCCACTAATTCTTTGGTGGTCGATGGCAATGGGAAAAGCTAGACTTGAATCCAGGGTAGAAGCAGCCGGGAGGAGGTCAGGTCATGGCTCTGGAATCGGCCTCTGGAATCCCAGCTCTGCCTTTTTCTGGTAACGTGGCCTTAGGCACATTTATTGACCTCTGTTTCCCCATCTATGTATTGAGGGCATGGACACTCACCTCCTGGGGTTGCTGTGGGGGCCAGTGAGGTAACCCTGCCTAACTGGAGCCCAGCTGAGTGCCCAGTCCTTTGTGGGCACAATGCGAACCTGGGAAAAGTATGATTTATATGAAAAGACAATTCTTGGAGCCTGGGGCATAGGAGCCGTGCCCGGGTTAGGAGGAGGCCTTGACTAGGGATCCAGAGCGAGGGGTCTCTGGGCCTCGGCCCCTGAGGGAGAGCCAGCGTCTCTGTACCCTGGGAATTGCTGACTCGCACCGCTGATAGAGAGGGGGCTTCTTTCTTCACCCTCGAACGTCCTGTGGTGTGAGGGATTCCTTACACCTTGGGGTGTCGTTCTGGCTCCTGTCCCACTCCCATACCCTCCTTTCTTGCCCTCTGTAAAAACAGTCCCCTGGGTTCCTCTCAGCCCAGCAAACTGGCGTTTTCAAAGTCCTGTCTGTCCTGACAGAGAACAGGGAAACAATAACGGAAAAGTTTAGTTTGATGAAACCAAAGGGTCTCTGGACTCAGCCAACTATAGACCCAAAGGGACCCAGGCCTGGGTGGTACTAAAATTGTCGTTGCCAAGGTACAGGTTTCTGACCCGACACTGTGGCCTCCACAGATGGCATATTGATTTTGTAAACACAAGAGGAATGAGAAGAAAGATGTATCGCTGGGGGCATCGCTGGGTGGACGGTGCGGTGGTGGACGGAGGGAGCTGTGAACAGAGTGGCCTTGTGACCCCGGCTGTGTCCCTGCCAGAGGCACCCTCCTGGGCCCTGGCCTCTGATCTCTATCTGTGGTGTGTCCTCATCTGTCCCTAACTTCATGTTTCGTGCCCCTACTACGTGCAGGCATGTGTCAAAACAGCCCTGCCCTCAAGGATGCTTCCCGTTCAGCGGGGGAGGCAGATCTCTCAGCAGATAGATGCACACAAGCCAGTTGGTGGACCACGTCTGTTGGCTTCACCTGGCAAAGCGCCCACACACCACAGTCCTGTCTCTCCTGAACCTCTATAAAAAAGCCTTGGGTGCCGAAATCTGTTTTTTTTTTTGTTTTTTTTTTTGTAAATAAGTCTGCAGGTAATTTTGTTGCAGCACCAGGTTTGGGACCCTGGACTTGAAAGTGTCATGAGTTTATGGTCCAAGTCTGTGGAGGGCACTGTGGAGACACAAAGGGGAGCATCAAGGAAGGCTTCATGGAGGAGGTGATCTTTGTATTGAATCCTGAGTTGAGTGTGTAGTGCCAGGTGGACAGAGGATTTGTATGAGTGGAGTGGGTTCTGCAGGATGAGGGGACACCATAGGCAAAGGCATGGAGGCAAGAAATAGCCCCTCCTGGGAACAAAGGTGGGAGAGTGGATGGGGTTGGTTGTAGGGCTGGACTCAAGCCACTTCTCTTAAGCCCACTTCAGCCCTGGCCGGTTTGGCTCCGCGGTTGGAGCACCAGCCTGCAGACTGGAGAGACCCGGGTTCGGTTTCCGCTAAGGGCACGTACCTTGGTTGCAGTTTGTTCCTGGCCCCGGTTGGGGTTGTGTGGGTGGCAGCCAGTCGATGTGTCTCTCCTACATTGATGTTTCTCTCTGTCTCTTCCCCCCTCTCTTCCTCCTGCTCTATCTGAAGATAAATGCAAAAAAAAAAAAAGTCCTCGGGTGAAGGTAAAAATAAAAGCTCACTTCAGTTGACCAGTGCCTCCGTGAGCTCATGGGGCCAGTGGGACCAAGCTGAGATCGCAGGCAGGCCGGGGCAGGTTGTCACAGACCTGAGGGGGTCTCACTGAGCTCCAAGCCAGGTCTGCAGCCTGCACAGGAAAGTGAAACTTTTTATTTCTTCCGACCTGAACAGCCAGTCCCTTCTCACGGTCACTACAGTGGAACTGAGGCAGCTGACGGCCTCCTGCTCCTCCAGTGAGGCTCCTGGCGGCGGGGCCTGGCCATCGGGGACCTCCCAGGGAAGCCCCGACAGCCTGTAGGCAGTGGTGATTTTAGATGACCCCTTGGGGGCTCCCGAAATCTGTCAGACGTCCGCAAGACAGATTCTCACTCTCTCTCTCTGGCCCGTTCCTGCTGACCTCAGAGCTTGGTGATGGCTATTAAATCATTTAGTCGATTGGTTCGCATCATGCCGGGTGCATAGTAAGTGCTTGATAATGTTAACGATTCTGATGTTTTTAGTCGCTCATTTATTTACTCTCTTAGTCACTCGTTTACCCACTTATTCATTCATTCACTCATTCACCCAAGTTCCCTCATTAATTTAGCACAAATTCGTTGCACATCTGATCTTTGCTATGCTGGGCTCACCTGGGCTCAAACCCCTCCTGTGGCAGGTGCTCCTGAAATGCAGCTTAGGTCAGCATAAGCCTGGGAATTCAGACATACTCCTGTTTGCCTGTGCGTAGATGCCTTTAATGACAGCAGTGCCTCTCACCCAAACAAGTGACAGCAGACGGCCCCTTGGTGACATCTTGTAGCCTGCAGCCACACTTGAGCATCTCTCTCCCAAATGACCGAATGATGCTGAGTGACTCAGCACTGGCACCAATCTTTGCTGAGCCCCAGCCGGATGCCCTGCGTGATTCCAGAGCCCACAGACGGCTGCAGCAAGGGCAGTGCTGAGGGTGAAGAGACCTGCTTCTTCAAGGTGGCAATGAGGAATCGGAGCCACGCGCATTTATTGATGTAATCATTTATTTATGTATCTCCCTGAGTCTTCCAAGACTTGGAAAAAAGGAGTGGTAGCACTAGAGGTGTTGGTTAAGTGTCAGAGCAGTGACTCCTGTAGGAACTCAGAGAAGGGAGAGAACTCACAGGGGGGGTGTCAGGGTGGGCTTCCTGGAGGAGGAGTCCACGCGGTGGGGAGAATGGCCGGAGCAAGGATGCGGCGCAGCAAGTCCGTGCAGGGAAGCTGAGGGAGGTGGGGTAGCCTGGGGCCGGAGAGGCCTGCTCCCCTAGTCGGGGAAGAGCAGGAAGCCGGAGAAGACGCTGTCGGAGCCCTCGGTGCCCACCATGCCGTTGTAGTCGTTGACGGCCAGCCACACCTGCGCGCCCTCCCGCAGCCGCAGCAGCACACCGCCTGAGCTGACCTGCTTGCTGCTGGACATGTGGTCACAGAAGGTGGTCATCTGGACGCCATTGTGGTACAGCTGCACACACAGGTTGGCCGTCTGTGACGTGTGGTGGACGAAGTAGTAGAGGCCGGGGACTTTGCAGGTGAACTTGCCGGTGCTGGTGTTATAGTCCCCCTGCGGGTTAGTGACGACCGTGTTGAACTTGACCAGGCTGTTCGATGCCGGGTACTGGACGGTCTGCCGTGTGACTGTGAACACGGACTGGTGCTTCTGCTTGTACCTGCCCTCCTCTCCTGGCTCCCCGGGGAGGCCGATGAATCCGGGAACCCCCGGAAGTCCAGAGGCTCCCATGGGGCCATTTTTCCCAGGATAGCCAGGTGTGCCAGCTTCTCCCTTCTGACCCTTGGGTCCTCGTGTCCCAGGAATAGCTGGGATTCCTGGGGAGAGAGTAGGTGGGAAGGAAGTGATGGGGCAGGGGACAGGGCAAAGGGACCTGGGGCTGTCCTCCAGGGGATACACCATTGGGGTCTGGTCTCTGAGACCTCCTTTCCCCAGATTACTGTCCACCTGGGAGCAGCGTGCAGGGAGTAAGGGGGACAGAACAGCTTATCACCTGGTCAGAGGGAAGGGAGGTCCCCGCTCAAGCCCTGCCCCCCCCCCCAGACCTGCCTCCTGACCTTGGCTAAGGCACCTGTCTCTTGGCCTCCGTTTCCACATTTGTGATGGAGAGGGTAGGACTAGCCAGCTCGGGAGGTGTCAAGGACAAGATCTCAGCGTGTCAGAGGCCATGCCTGTCAGCCCACGGACAGCATGCGGCCTCAGGGACCTGCTGGTCCTGTGCAATGTTTTTTTTCACGTTTTATTTAGACCCAACATGAACACATTCAGACCTCACTTAAAAGTCTAGGGCCTTGGTTTTTCTTGACAAAAGTAAGATTGGTCACAGGCAGATTTTCTGGGAAGCTCACGAAATTGTTTTAGGCCTCATTAGCTGGCATTGGCCCCTTCAAGGCCCTTGGCCTAGTTTTATATTGATAGTTTTCCCAATATTTTATGTTAAAATACTTGTAGATTCACAGGAAGTTGTAAAAACAAACAAACAAACAAACAAAAAAAACGAGAGAGAGGGGAGAGAGAGAGAGAGAGAGAGAGAGAGAGAAGAAGGTGTCATGTGCCCTTGACCCTTCACCCAGTTCTCCCCAGTAGCGCATGGTGCATATCTAAAGAACAACATCAAAACCGGGCATCGACCTTCGTGTACCCCACAGAGCTCCACTTCATGTGTGTGTGTACAGTTCTCACACAATTTGGTAGCATGTGTAGATTTGTATAACACTCCCTCCCTGCAATCAAATGTATTAAAATAATTTCGTATTATTTTTCTTTTTTTTTTTTTATCCTCACCCGAGGACATTTTTCCATTTTTTGCACAGATAGAGTAGGAGGGAGAGAGAGGAAGAGAGAGAGAGAGAGAGAGAGAGAGAGAGAGAGAGAGAAACATCGACGTGAAAGGGACACATCGAGTGGCTGCCACCCGCATGACCAACCAGGGTCGGGGGCAAACTGCAACTGAGGTACATGCCCTTAGCGGGAACCGAACCCGGGTCTCTCCGGACCGCAGGCCGATGCTCTAACCGCTGAGCCAAACCGGCCAGGGCCCATATTATTTTTCTTAAAGAGGGCCTTCAACACTTATGTTTCAGAGCCCTGCAAAACCTGTGTCTATTCCTCAGCCAGCGTAGTACATGGGAACCACTGGATGGAGCCAAGGAGAAGCTGCCCCTTGGAGGGGCTCCTTCCAGCTCCCCCAGCCCCACTCAGCCACTTCAGCCCTGATGGCAGCTTGCCTGGTTCAACTTCCCTCATGCTGAAGATGAGGAAATTGAGGCCAGAGACGACCAAGGCCATGCAGCTGGTACGAGGCGAAGTTAGGACTCAAAGTCAAGTCTGGCTGAGTTGCAGTCAGAAAGTCTGATTCTTGTTACTGTCCTAATTATCGATGCCTCTGAGATTTTTCTCTCCTTGTCCAAACCATACTCATCTTTTAGGGCCCGCCATCGGTCTCTTCTTCCAGGAAGCCCTGTCTGAGCGCCCTTGCCTGCCCTCAGGGCCGCGTCCTCCTCTGACTCCCTAGGGAGTGGGCGTCTGTGACAGATCTACACGGCGTGTGAGCCTTCTAGGTCCCAGGGTGAGGAGTTGGGGATTGGGACCCAGCAGACATAGGCTTCAGGCTGTGTGACCCTGGGCAGGAGACCTCCCCTCCTGAGCCGCTTTTGCCCAGTGGAGATAAGGGCACGTGGAATGGATCCCACAGAGCCAGCGGAAGAGCCTCTGCGCATGCCGGGAACTTCATCGGAAGCACTCAGTAAAGTCAGGCCCCTGCATTCGCTGCCCGCGATGCTGAGCAGGGCCGTGGCTCGGCCTCTGAGGTCTTCCAGCAACTGATGGGCAGGGGTAGGACTCAGCAGTGGGGAGGGGGCCTGAGAGGCAGGGGAGGGTAGTGGTGAAGGGAATGGCCTTTGGAGCTGAATAGGATTCTACTGTGTGACTTCAGGCAGGTTACTCAGTCTCTCTGAACCTCAGCTTTGACATTTATCAAATGGGAGTAAATCACTTCTTCAAAGGATTTTGGCCTGTTTTCTCATTGGCAGAAGAGTTCACAATTTAATCTGCCCCATTCGGACCTGTGCCTGGCACAAGTAGTAGCTCAAAAATCAGTAGCCCTCAGCCACCCTGGGCAGGGAGATGGCCAGAGGCAGCTTGAAGTACAGGGTCCTGAAAAATGGGGATCCTCATTCAGCTCACCCCAAACTGGAGACTTCCTTCTGGAATGTTGGTAAAAGTCCACATCATCGCCAGGAGGGAAGATGACAGTGGGGAGATTCCTAAGGACGTTCCTCTCCGCTGGCCCCTACCCCCACCCTCTGCCTCTCCATCACCTCTGCCCAACCCCACCCCAGCCCATGTGTACCACCTCCAACACGCGCCACTTCCCAGATACTTTCGAACCAAGCACCGAAGACTCCAGCCTCACCCACACCAGCCCACTCATGTCCTCAGCCCCCTTCGCTCATGCTGCAGCTTCCCCGTGAATCTCCCATAGAAGGTTCTGTAGCTGTGATCCTGTCCCCACCCCTCCAACTAGGGACCACAGGTTTCTCATGAAAACAGTGATAACAACAGCAGTAACAACCATAGCCTACACTTATCCGATGCCTACCATGTGTTCGGTGCTGTTTTATATGTAAACTTAGTCATCATAGCGCCGCTGCGCAGTAGGCGCTACCATCTCCCCGTTTTACAGACGAGGAAACAGAGGCACACGTGTTAAGTAAGTAACGTGCACAAGTTCACATGGTGGGAAGTGATGGGGCTGGGATTTGAACCCTGCTCGTCTGTGCACTGCATACATCCACTGTGTGGGTCCCACCTCCCCCACAGGTCCGTGTTGCAGGGCAAGGAGTGGATGGGTTGTCACAAAACAGTAGCCTAGCATTTTAGATTTTGCCAAAGATGTCCCCACGGATCGTGTCCTGTGATCCTCCCTGCCGCCTGGGCAGGTGACATCTCCCCTCCCCGCTATTAGAGGGGGGCACCGGGGGGGCCTGAGGCCTGGGCTCTGAGGACAGAGGGGCTAGGCCTGCGGTGAGAGCTGGACTCTGCCCTGGGAGCAGGTGTGGCCGGAGGGACCACGCTCTTTGCTAGCAAGTTGCTGTCCTCCTTTCCCCAGGTCAGCCCCAGATGGACACTCCATCCCCTGTCCCTAGACCCCAGGTGACCCCTTCCCACCAGGCCAGCCAACTCACCTGGTTCACCCTTGGGCCCTTGCAGTCCGTCATACCCATCCTTCCCCGGGGCCCCGGGCAGGCCTGGTATCCCGGGGATCCCGTAGAACTCTGTGGCGGCCTGGCCCCCAAGCAGCAGTGCCAGAAGGAGCAGCAGCAGGTTTAGTCCAACGGGGGGCCGGAAGCTGGGGCTCCTGTCCATCCTGGGGAAGGAGCTGGATGGCGAAAGCTGAGTTGGCCCACCCAGCCCCTCACTGCCCCTCCTCACCCTCTTACTCCCCAGGGCTCATCCCTCCCCACCCTTAGGAACCTGCTCCCTCCCCTGGGCCCTTCAGGCCTTGGGACTGCACGACGGGTGGACAGGGGTCACTCCTTTGGGCTCAGCGAGGATGGGGATCCCCCTTCCTCTCACAAATCAGGCTGTCCCTGGGGCTATGTCTCAGGAAGGTGGTGGCGAAAATAACTGGCATTTCCTCTCACCTGGACAGGGGTCTTGGTCTCACCTGGGGGTGGGAGGTTTCTGGTCTGGTCACTGAAATGCCCTTCGATCTGCTTCCCCTCTCCCGGGCAAGAGGACACCGTGTCAGAGTGGACAGAGCAAGGAGGGCTGGAGCAGACTGGGCGGCCGCCTCCTGCCCCTCCCCCCAGTCTCACATCCCCTTTCCCATGTGCTTCCTGACTCAATACTTTGTTTCGCGTGCTGAGCCAGGCTGACCACCACCGCTGGGTCATGAGTGTCCGAAATGAGGAAATGTCCACGGTCCGGATCTGGTGAACGGTGTGTGCGTGTCTGTGTGTCTGTAAACACACGCCTCCTGGGCAGACTTCCCCTAGAGTCAAGTTCAGCCCCGCTAATGTCCATCCCCATTTCTGGGCACTTACTGGGCCTGAGACTCAGCTGCTCCACAGCCCCCTGGGAGGAAGTTATCCCCCTTTACAGACAAGGAAACCGAGGCACAGGGAGGTTAAAGCCCAAAGTCACGGAGTGGGTGGCTTCTTGGCATCCAAAGCCTTGCTCTGACCTCCCTGCTTAGCTGTCCCCAGAAACAAGCCTCATATGCACTTGTCAAGTAGCAGGCCTTATTCTAGAAACTTCTATATACCCCCTTTCATATCATGGTTAGGGGTGGACAGCCAGAATGGGCGGGCAGCCTGCTGTGTTGGACAGACTCCTCTGGCTCCAGAGTCAGCAGCCTCGGGGCTCCGTCCAGCTCTGCCCCCCTCCTTCCCTGAGGCCTTCGGCAAACCACTGACCCCACCCAGGCCTCAGTGCCCCAGTGAATTCTGGGTGGTGGGGAAGGCCAGGGCTCTGCATGTTGGCACCTCTTCCTTTGCCGGGGCCCGACGACCTCCCCTTCCCTGCCAGCACCGCCTCCCTCGCCTCCATCCCCAGCACCCACCCCTGTGTTTGGTCTTGGAGCCTATTGTGGCCAGTTGGAGGGGCTGGCAGAGCTGAGAGAGGCCCCCACACAGATTCCAGGGAGGAGGGAGGTATCCCTCACCCCCTCCTGCCACCTGTCACTCAGCGTCGGTGCCTCCTCCATAATGGGGGATTCCAGTAGCTCCCATGCCGGGCAGTGGCGAGGACTCTGTGGGATAGATATATAGCCCTGTGCTGGGCATGAGCAGGAGTTCAGAGCCCTGCCCCTGCTCGGGGCCTCAGTCTCCCCATCTGGGCCTCCATGCTCTGTCACGGGGCTGCAGAGTGTGGGAGGAGAGAGTCTGGGGCAGGGTTGGGGGCGGGGTGGGAATGGACGGATGGCACCTGAGATCCCATCTTCACCTCGTTTGCGCCTGGGTCTGGTTTGTCCAGCAGATGGCAGCCTCGGCCCGTGCTCAGCCCTTCCCTGCCCTGCCCACCTGGTCCAGCTGGGTTCCTTCCTTCCAGAGGGGGCAATGATTTGCTTCCCCAGAAGTGGGTGGCATGAGTGGAATTTAGGATAAGGAGCAGCCTGCAACCACTATTTCTGTAGCCTGGTCTCTCCGGCCACATATGGAGCTCCACCGCTGACATTTTCTTTGGGTCCCACTGCAATGGAGGAAGCCCTCCACTTTGGGGCCAGGCAGAGCTGGTTCTATTCTAGGCCCTGCCACTTTCCGGCAGTGACTTTGAGCCAATGTCTCCCGTCTTTGAACCTCAGTGTCCTCATCGATTTTGCTGGGATGAAATGCATCAATGGCTATGAAATGTCTAGCACACATAGGTGCTCAGAGACCTGATTCTATTCCCAGTCCATGGGTGGGTGTGTCGTGTGTGTGTGTGAGGGGGGGGGCAGGGTAACTGCTGGGGCAGAGCAGGGACCCAGTGGAGGCTGGGGATCATGCAGAGTCAGCACGGTCCAGGGGCTACAGAGAGGTCACTTTCTTCTTCCTGACTCCCAAAGGCTGTTGGCAGGCAGCCCCAGGAGAGGGTCTTGACTGTACGTCAGGCGCAGGACTGGGGGATTGTATACGTGAGAACTCTGAGGCTCCTGTGGGGTGTTAGCATGTGTGCAGGTCAATGTATCAGCAAACATCGGTATTTTTTTTTTCTTTTTGTTAATCCTCCCCGGCGGATATTTTTCCATTGATTTTCAGATAGAATGGAAGGGAGGGAGAAAGAGAGAGAGAGAGAGAAACATCAGTGTGAGCAAGACACATGGATTGATTGCCTCCCGCACGACTCTGACTGGGGCCGGGGATCAAACCCACAATTTAGGCATGTACCCTTGACTGGGAATCGAACCCACAACCCTTTTCAGTCCTTGAGCCAACTCTCTAACTGCTGAGCCAAACCAGCCAGGGCAAACAGCATGTTTAATGCACATGTGTGTTGGACGGAGTGGAGGATGTGTACACTTGCATGTCAGGGGTGTGTCTGGGACACCTGTCTCAAGGTGTGCGTGTGTAAGAGTACTCCTGATGGTTTACAGGGACACTCGGTGTCAGGCAGAGCTGCGTGGGTACGATGGCATGTGTATCCCCGGGTATATCTGTGAGTTTGAAGACATAACTCACATGGGTGTCCTGGGGGGTGCACGGGTGTGTCTAAGAAAGTGAGTGTGTGCTGAGGGAGGGGATACTTGCCCATGTTTCAGGGAGGAGTGGACAAGTCTTGGTCCGGGAATGTGGGTCCATGTGCATCTAGAGGAGGTGTGCATGAATGGTGTGTGTTGGTGCGTGTGTGTGTGTGTGTGTGCGCATGCATGCAGCACAGGGCACTGGACATTTTTAGGACTGAACTTCTGGTCTCCTTATTTTCCTCACATACAGAGGACATACTGGGGCTTCCTGCTTCTGAGCAGCTCCCGCACTGGCCAAGTGAGTCCTGGGAATGAGCCACTAACGCTCCAGACCCACAGTCCAGGGCTGCCCAGCAGGCTGCACTCCCACCTCCACACCTGCCGGGGTTGAAGCCCAGGGCTGACCTCAGGACACGGCCTTTGGGAAGGACTTGCTGGATGTCCTTGGGCCAACAGCTCCCTCTCTCTGAGCCCTGCCCCTTTCTGGTTCGGGGTTGGAATGCACCGTCATTTGTCAGGTGTGTGGCTGTGAAGGCTGACGCAGGTAGTAGTTAAACACACAGGCTTGGGCACTAGTAAGACTCGAAGTCACATCCCAGCTCCTCCCCTTGAACATTGACCTGGGCTGTGGGTGCCCCAACTCCCAGCCTCAGTTTTATTATCTGTAAAATAAGGTCATAATATCCACTTCAGAGCTTGACTATAAAGATGATACAAAATGTAAAAATAGCTCAAACTTATATAGCCCTTACGATGGATCAGGTACTGTCCTGCAGTTTTCATGTATTAAGTCATTTAACCCTCCCAACAATGCTTTGAGGTAGGTGCTATGATTATTCCCACTTTACAGACTAGGAACCTGAGGTCCACTGAAGTCTATATAACATGCACACAATTGGACAACGAGTAAACGGTGTCCCCAGGGTTTGAATCCAGGCTGACGAGGCTCCCAGGACATGGCAAACACATGTTGTAAAACACGAAACAGGGGCCTGCCCTGTAAACCCCGAACCACCGTCATTCCCATGCCTCCCTCCCAGCGCCCAGGGAGCCACTGAACCACACGCCAGCAGACACGGACACAGGTATTTATTCCAGGAAGAGTTCGAAGAAATGCCCTCCCTTCAGCTAAAACAGCAGCATTCGCACTTCACAGAGCAGAGCGCGGCACCAGAGACACGGAGCGAGCGGGCCTGGGGCACCGAGTAGGAAGCAGATGAGGCCAGCGTGGGAAGGGGCTGCCCCGGTTCAGGTGGACGGGAAGATGAGGAAGCCACTGAAGACACTGTCCACCTCGGGACCCTGGTAAATGCGGCCCTTAACGGGGTCTTTTTCGATCCAGACCTGGTCTCCATTCTGGAGCTGGAGCACTGTGCCCCCAGACACCACCTGGAAGGTCCCCTTGCTGTTGCTGTCACAGAAGCCCAAGGAATGCGGGGGCTGGCCCCTCTTGGAGGACACGATGGACAGGCAGATGTCCCACTTGGACACCACCTGGAAAGTGAAGTAGTAGAAGCCCGGCACATCGCAGACGAACCGGCCCGTGTGGCTCTGGTAGCGGCCTTCCTCGTTGGTGATGATCGCGTCGAAGATGACCACGTTGCCGCCCATCGGCGGGTTCCGCCTCACGGCCGAGAAGGCCGGCCGCGACTGGTCATTGATGTTTCCCGGGTTGCCCTTGGCGCCCTTCAACCCTGGGCTGCCAGGGGGGCCCATGGGTCCGCTAGGTCCTGGGTAGCCCATTTTGCCAGGGCTCCCAGGGGGCCCAGGGTCCCCTTGGTCTCCTTTGAGACCTCGGATGCCTGTCCGGATGCCAGGGGCCCCTGTGGGGAGGAAGACCAGATAGGGAGTGAGAGTCTAGTGTCTGCCCATCCTCAGGGGACGGCTGGGACGCTGAAATGCTGTGGGCTAGTGGGTAGGGGAGTGCCTGGGCCTTTAAGACTGGTTTTGGCTGGCTCTGTGACCTTGGGCAAGTATCTCAACCTCTCTGAGCCTCAGCTTCTTTATCTATAAAATGGAGAGAGGGTAAACAGGCACTTGGGAAAGTGTCAGAGTCTGTGAAAAGCGGGACACTAGCTTCTCCACTGTGCTTCTGCCCATGGCCCTGCACTCCACACCCCGCCAGGCCACTGACCCGGACCTCTTCAGTTTCGAGGACCCCATGCAGGGTGCCTCAGTGTGAATTGTTAGAAACATCTCTGCAGATCTTTCTGGTCTGCTGTGGCCTGGGAGGCTTGGGGATTACATGAGACTTTCCTTTCCCATCTGGTTATGTCCTCTCTTTTCCTTCAGCCCCAGGCTTTGCCTGGAATTTGAGAGTTTCTGAAACCTGAAAGGGCTGGGAAGAGGGAGCAGGGACAGAGTTGGGGGGAGGGTAGGTGGAAAGAAGCAAAAAGGATAGTTGCTATTAATTGATCCCTCTCTATGTGCTGGGTGTGGTTAATTCTCTGTTTTACAGATGAGGAAACCGAGTCTCAGAGAGGACCACACAGCAGGGCAAGGGCTTCTGAGTCTGAAACCTAGGGCAGTGATGATCCTGGTAACTGAACAGTGACCGAGGACTGGGCACTGACTGCTTCAGGGTCATTCTTATTTATTGCAGCAAGAAAGAGGACCTGGGGGTCTGGGGACAGGGTCCAGGGAGAAGGTTACGCCCCCCTCGGACCCCAGGACCAAGTTCAAACTGGAGGGACTTTATATGGGGGCCCAGGTGGACCACTGCTTTTTGGTGCCACCCCCAAGCCTCCACCCTGGAGCCCAGATCGGTAAAGAGATGAGGGACTGGGGTCCAGAGGGAGGTACTCACCTGGCTCCCCTTGCTCCCCCTTGAGGCCTGGCCGTCCAGGTCGGCCAGGTTTTCCTGCAACCCCGTCCCTCCCAGGCGGTGCTTGGCACACATTCTGGGTCACTGTAGAGGCCAAGGACAGGGCCAGCACACCAACCACCAGCCAGAACCATGGGCCTTCCATGGTGCCCTGCAGAGACACAGCAGGGCCTGGGTAGGCTGGACATCACACACTCATGCCCACCCAACTCACACACTTGAACCCCCTCCCCACAGTGATCTACATACACCCTCCCCACCAATGCACACCTCCCTGCTCGAGGGACTTCCTTCCCTCCAGCTCCAGGGAACCTAAACCTTTACACAGAACCACAAACTCACACAGATACGCACATGGAACAGAACACACCCGCACAGTCACACACGCAGACACACAAACACTGCTGGACACATACACTGACACCCAGATAGACTCCATCCCTCACTCACCTAGACACACACGCTCATATACTCCTACAGATGATCAATTCCATTGAACAAATATTTATCAAGAGCCTGCTCCTTCTTTAATTAACACGCCCTCACCCAGATGGCAGAGCTGTGCTCACACCCGGGATTCACAGACGCCTGACACAACACGCCCACCCACTCCCCTCTCTACTCGTCCCCTTTCAGGGGTCACCCACTGCCCCCTCCAGGGGACCTCTCCACTGGGCTCTGAACCTTCCGGCTTCTTATGTTTTGGGGGATCAGGACCCAGAAACTCTGGTTAGAGCTAGTGGGTCTGTGTCACCACCTTCCACTCTCCCCAAGTCCAGGGAGCTAAGGTCCCCCCACTCACGATTCTGGGTCCTGAACCAGTGCCCCACCCAACTCTGTCCGGGCACAGAGCAGCTGGACGTGCTCCCTCCTGCCAGCCTGCGCGCAGCTCCTAGGCCTGCTCCCCGCGTCTGCACCTCACAGCCCCTCCCTCTCCGGCGCCGCCTCACCTGCCTCGGGTGGTCAACTCAACTGGACGCTCCTGCTGTCCACCCAGGGACCTCTGTGGGACACCCAGCAGGACAGCGCCGGCCAGGGGCCAAGTTTCACATCCCTTCCCACTTCCCCTTGTCCTCCTCCGGACCTGCCCCAGGCATTGCCCCAGAGGCGAGAGGCTGGCCAGGGACCTTTTGAGCAGACCTCAGCAAGACCGGAACATTGCACATCCCACCCCAAGCCACAGCTGGTGGGGGGCAGGGACAGGGGCGGGAGTCTGCAGGGCGGGGGCTGTGGAGGGCGTCCTAGGCGGGGTTGGTAGAACCAGGGAAGTACAGAACATCATGGCGGAAGGAACCTTTTTTAAAATCAGTAACTTGGAAGAGTGTTTTAGGATTTGAAAGCAACAGTATGTATTTATTTTTAAAAGCTTGTAAATGCAGAAAAGCACAATGGAAGGAGAACAGTGCAGTAGTAATGAGGAGCTTGGCTCCTAGCTGTACATCCTTGGACAGACGCTTAACCTCCCAGGGTCTTGGTTTTCTTATGGGTAAGTTGGGAACAACAGAGTCTCTACCTTGTCGGATTACTAGAAAGCTCTTTTAAAGATATGTTTTTATTGATTTTTTAGAGAGAGAGGAAGGGAGAGAGAGATAGAAACATCGATGTGAGCCCTGGCCAGTTTGGTTCAGGGTAGAGGGTTGGCCCCGTGGGCCAATGAGTTGTGGGTTAGATTCCAACCAAGGGCATGTACCTCGGTTGCCGTTTGTCTCCAGCCCTGGTTGGGGTCGTGCGGGAGGCAACCAATGTGTCTCTTCCACATTGATATTTCTCTCTCTCTCTCTTCCTTTCTCTTCCTCCCACTCTATCTGAAGATAAATAGAAAAATACCCTCAAGTGAGGATTAAAAAAAAAAAGAAACATTGATAAGAGAGAGATGTACAGAGGCTGCCTCCTGCATGCCTCCTAGTGGGGATTGAGCCCACAACCCAGGCATGTGCCCTGATGGGGAATTGAACGGGGATCTCTAAGTGCATGGGACGACGTTCAATCCTCTGAGCCACACCCGCTGGGCATGATTACTATAAAGTTTAATGGTATAATACATATACAAAACATTGGGCACATGGTGAATGCTTAATATTTAGTTTTTATTGACATTTAAAAAATAGTGTCAAAGCCCATGAATTCTACCATCTAGAGAATTGCTTACTCTTACTGATGGGGTACTCACTACCTGTCAGCACAGCTCACATCATCACTGCTAGCTAGGACCCTGAGTACAATTTTCTTTAGATTCAGCAATGTGTCTCTCCCAGACTAGGAACCAATGTATTTAGGCTTGGATTGACTATGTCTTTCTACTTCTTCCTATGACAATTTCCCCCCCTAAGAAATTGGCCAGAGGGAAGAGGAGGAGGAAAGGGAGGGCTGTTATACACAGGCAGATGAAGATCGTCTAGGGCCGGGGTTTTCAAGTTTTTGGGACTCTTTTTATATTTGCAATCTTGTATAGCATCCAATATATATCCAATAGACACAAACAGGGATACTTTGGTTTAAAGGGAGGGCCCAGAGCTCCTCCTACCAGCCCTCTCTTGCTCCCCAGGATTCAGGAGGTTAGGAGAATCTCTGTGTGACCTTGGGCAAGCCATGTCAATTCTCTGGACCTCAGTTTTGTTATCTGTAAAATGGGGGTAATACAGCCTCCTCACTGGGCTGCTGAGGGGTCATGTAACCTTATGAGGAAGTTTACTGTTAAACACCACATTAAAATAATCCTCATAAATAATATCTATGTGACCTTAGGCAAGTTACCCAACCTCTCTGAGCCTCACTTTCTCCATCTATCAAGATGAGGGAGGGGGCTGGAAGCAGGAAGGATTGTCCCGAATGGTCTGCAACATCCCTTCCCGTATTCAGTGTCTTTGACGGCATTGCGAGCAGGGTTGGAAGTATCACATGTCAGAGTCAGAATGAACAGCCCGATTGTTCCCATTTTATAGATGAAGAAACTAAAGACCAAAGACAAAAAGACCTGTCCACATAGAAAGTGGCAGAGTAAGCAGGAGGAAAAGCCAAATACTGTGAAAGGCCTCTCAAAGTATAATTTTCAAGATGTTAGATGAATGGAAACATATAGTGAGTGCATGTCAACTTTTTGTAGCTTATTAATGCAGGAGCCAGATGACAAAGCTGGTTCAGTGAAGAATCTAAGAAAAAAAGCAAACAAAAAACAACCTGCATAGAAGAGAGAGAAGAGAGAGCCAGCAAAAACAAAAACAATAAAAAATGACACAAGAATTCTAGAATATTCACAAGGACGTTAAAAAACTGGTTAACGTCCTTTAGGGCAATAAAATCATAATGTTGGGGTTATCTTTTCTATGGAAAAGAAATCATTTGCATTTCCACCAGGCAAAAATAACTTGCAACTTATCAGTTTTCTACCAGCTAACAGCTATCTTTACAGAGCCTAGGCCCCGATCAATAGTAAACAATAAGGCAGGAAAAGTGACATTCCCCTAGAGTGTCAGGTGACCCTTAGGAGGGCTTGTCAGACACGGCTCTAATTTGACTTTGAAAGGACACCGGTTATCTATTCGCCTTATTTCCAAGTGAGGGATGATTTCACTTATCAGGCTGTTTGCAAGAGCCCAAACACTTCCCAAGAAATAAATGGCATCGATAGTAATGAACGTGCCATTAGTGTGAAAAGTAAACGGGTAGGTGATGGCCTGTGAATGTCACAATGGGGACACCTTTCGTCAGATGGGAGGGGCACAGTTTCATTGCTCCAGAGCTCCGCCTGGTGCAGGGGAGGCAGGGGGAGGGGGAACCCCTGTCATGCTCACGGAGCCCGGAGCCCGGAGCCCACACACCCAGGCCCCGGCTGTAGTCAGGCCTAGGGAGTAACCAACACAAAATCTCTAAACTACTCGAGTTCTTTCCGGTGGAGTCACATCACACTCAAGGGCTGGGTTCCAAAACCAGCATCCTAGGCAAAAATTGTAAATGGTCAATATTACTGTTGGGGAAAAGAATCTTGGAAAGGGCCATGTTGGGGACCATATTACCATTTCGCAGCAATTCTGTGCGGTCACCTTCGGCTGTGACGTTAGAATAGATTTCTATTTCCTTGTTAGTTGGCTAATGGACATGCCCTTTTTTGAGAAAGGAAAAAGAAAGAAAATAATTGAATCCTTAAAGACCGGAGCCATACTCAGTGGGGAGGTGTTGAGATCATGAGGAGCTCATGGGACCTGAGGGGACTTGGGGGTGGCGGTGCATTGGGTCTCCCCCACCAGCTCTCTCCAGAAATAGGCTCCTCCAGGGTCCGAGTGAGGCGGCATCCCCTCCCTCATTTGAATCGATATCTTTAGCTCTTTCTCTCCCTGAATCACATTAGGCAAAATGCAGACAGTCAAATGTATATAGAACATAGCTCCGAAGTTCTTGTATTTGTGTTTTGAATTTAAAAATTGAGGTTGGATTTACAAGTCGTAAGTGCACCACCCGGTGGCTTGTCACGGGTGCGAACACGCTGTCGGCCGTCACCCAGATGCTGCCTTGTGCCCCTTGTTTTACCCCCTACCCCAAAGTGACCAGTGTGTTCCGACTCCCATCACTATGGTTACTTCTGCCTGTTCTTGAACCTCACGTAAACGGAATCACTCAATGCGTGTCCTTCCCGTCAGGCTTCTTTGGCTTCACAGGCGTGTGAGACCCATCCGGCTCCCCCAGCGTCAGCTCGGGTGCTGTGGCCGAGCAGCACTCCTGGGGTGCGCGCACCCCCTTCGCTCCGTCCTTCTCGGGTTCCTGGACATCTCGGGTCACAATGAATAAAGCCGCTAAGAACGTTCTTGTACAAGTCCGCCTCCGGGTGCCGCCCCGTGAACATAGGCGCTCAGTCCTCCCTGCAGTGTCTGAACACCCAGGCGGGGCAGAGTGCACACCAGCCGTCCTCCCTCTCGGCCCCGGGCCCACACCTCTCCCCCCAACAGCCTCTTTCTAAAACAAACAAAACCGAGACCCTCCTGCACCCTCTGCCTGACCCACCTGTTCTCCTTCTCACTCACTCTTCCCCTTCTCCCTGCTCTTTATCGCTGAGTGTCTTCATGTTGTCTTCCCGGCTAGATCCTTACTCCTGGGGGCCTCTGGTCTCTCCTAGTCTCCGGCCCTTCACCCAGTGAGATCAGGGTTTGGGTGGGTGGGGTGTTCAGGGAAGGGGAGGGAGCTGTCAGAACCTGCCACACCTCTTCAGAGCACACTCTTCATGCTTTGCATCTCTCCTGCGGATTAAAGCTCTTTTGGGGACTGTTTTATGAAAAACAGAAGAAATTGTAAACAACGAATAATATGTGCCTCCCATTTGCCTTGTCTGGGGATGACAGCGACCCTTCAAATTGTGGCCAGTCTTCAAATCGATGTGGTTTGTCCCTGACACGTGGCAGGCACTTAGCAAAAGTCCCACCTCTTCCTTCTCCCCCCTCCTGCCACTCGGGGCCAGGGCATGGTGACCAGCTGAGAAGGCCTCCACCTCTCAACCTGAGGCCCCAGCCGAAGACCAGAATCCTGGCTGCCCAAGGCAGCCAAACCCTGCGGGCAGCTCTGGGTGAAGCTCCCAACACCTGATATCAGCAAAGGTGCTAATGGAAGCCGCCAGGGGTGCAGGCAGGTGAGATGTAAAAGGATTAAGAGGATTAGGAGACAGTTTGGAAAACAAACAGTGGACTGTGGGAGCCAGCAAGGAGGCATTGCCTGCCTTGTGGGGGCCGGGCACTGGGTCCCGGGGCTGTCAGACCCCTCAGCCAGGGACCATGGCACCCAGAGACCTGGGTGATACCAGCTCACACAGTCGTTGGGTCAGTCGTAGGTGAGTGGCCAGGAGAACGCTCCCCATGAAGAGATGATCTCCTTTGTCTGCCCATCACCTGCCTGATACTCCACCTTTACCCACTGTTTCCAAGGGGGAAGCTTCGCCTCCTCGAGGATGTTTTCTGAAGATGAGTCTTGGTGCATTTGCAAGATGTGCCTGGGTGCTACTTCGTGAGCCCTGCTCTAGGCTTAGTTTTAGTGCTGAATACACGATCTCATTTCATCATCACGACCCCTGGGAGGGAGGACTTGACTGATGAGCCCCTTTTACAG